CGTATGCCCAGGTTTGCATGACCTTGGTTAAGTTATGTAGTCATCTAACTCAGTTTCTCAATTTTGAAGATGGGCAAGAATCCTTTTTTCTTCCTACTTTATAGGGTTTGAAGATCAAGTAAGATAATGTGTGTCAGAGCACTTTGTAAATTTGTTATAGGAGAATGAATGCTACCTATCATCTGTTTCTTCCGTCATCAGAACTGAAAACAAAGTAAAAACTACCTAGGTTACATTTCTTTTCCAGATATTTTCATCTGCCCTACTTGTAATTGAATCTTCCAAATAACTATTTTAGGAAAAATCATTCCTATTTTAGGTGAAGTGTTTTCCTCAGAAGTTCGGAAACTATGTTTCAGGAACAACCAGTTCATAGAGGTGACCCTGATTTCTTTGTGTGTGTGACCTACTTCCTCCCAACCTCCTCAGGGCTTCAAGAGGAGTGTGAATGTGAAAGCAGGGGTTCTTGGTTCTTGTTTTGTTTTAAGCTGGGAGGGTGGAGAGAGATGGGAGAATGATTAGTTGGAGAGAAGTGGTTGTCCCTTCCAACCCAGCAGTGCCAAGTACCCGAGAGAAAGAGGCAAACTGGAGGGGAGGGTTCATATCAGCTACATGTTAGGGGTCCACAAGTGGAAGACCATTCTAACAGATGCTGGGCATTGAGCAGGGCCAGTGGAGTCAGTTCACTCTCATTTGGCTGTTCATCAGAATTAGCAAAACATGGATTTCATGTTAGTGTTTGTGTGGGTAACTATCTCAGAACAGTTTATCATCAGGGCAGGACTGTGTCTTATTCATGGCTGCACCTCCAGAACCTAGTAGTGTGTCCGGCACTTGTAATAGCTGAATAAAGGCATTTTTCCTAAGGCATCTTCACAGTATTTACTAAACTGCTTTCTTAGACCATATTTAACATGCACAGTTATGCTTCTGTGCATATTGATTCTCTGGAATATATTATGTACCCATAATATATTGGTCCACAGTCTAGTTGGTTCTCCTTCCTTAACATCTTTCATGCATGCCCCCAACCTCTATCTCCACTGCCAAAGTCTTTATTGAATTCCCTGCTCACCTGGATTATTGTGTTTTTAATAATACTACCTTCAAATCTTGTTTCCTTTAACCGCCCTTCCCATTGCTGCCAGCATCTCTGAGGTGCAAATTTACTCTTTAATGGTTTCCTCTTACCTACTCTAGTGAGTTTGTACTTTTTAAGTATAAAGGTTACCTGAGACCAAACATCTGAGAATCGTTTTCGGTCTCTACCTTCAGACAGCACATTCCTCTGAGAGAATCAGGCTGGAAAATTAGAAGTATCTAGTAGCCCAGGAGATTAGGGTTCATGAGTATATGATGACATTCAGTTTTTGTTGACATCCTTGATTATTTCCAAGTAGACCATGTAGTCTGCTGTCAGGTGTGCTGCTTACTGCTCCTGGTGGCAACCTTGTCCCCTCCGATATTTGTCTCCAGACCCTTTATTTTTAGCAGGAAGCTTCACCAAAAAGCAATAATGAACTTAAGCACTGGTGACTAATCCTTATTTTCTTTACATCTTCTTTCTTTTGTTATGTGTAGACTTACCAAAGGAGAGCTGTTCAAAGTGTTAGAGGCCTGCATGCTCCATTGCTTCTGTAGTGGCCTGCCTGCTCCATTGCTGTGCTAGTCTGGGTTTTTTAGTTTCTGGGAAAGAATATTTGAAAATAAAGAATCACTGAAGTTTGTCTCATGTGGTGTGAAGAATTATAAAAATGGTAGCTGAGAGAAATTATAATCATTTAAATGCATGTAGAAATGCTTATTTGTATTTCTTATCTACTAGGTAACAAAACCAGTATGCCAGAAATAAATTTGTTATAAGAGATGTTTATTACATAAACTAGTGGCCCAGTACACAAAATTCATGCACATTAAAAGGGAATGAATTAGAGGAAATATTTTAATATTGCTATTTGCCCTTTCTCTATAATAGAAGTGTCAGAGATGAAAGAAAATTAGTAAAATGTATATGAAAATCTCTTTCCTGTCAGAGTCTGGGGTGCGCCGCGGGACCCAGAGTCAAGTCCCGCCCTCCTGTGCGTGCCTCGAAATCGCACCCAGTCGGCCCCACCCCCGTCAAGCCCCACAGGGCGGGGGCACAGCCTCAGGTCCCCCGTCAAGCCCTGCCAGGCGGGGAGTGCAGCCTCAGGTCCCCTGGCCTGGCCTCAGGTCCCTCAGCCCTGGCGTGAGGGTACGATGGCATGATGACCATTTGCATATTAGCTATTTATTAAATAGGATGTGTAGTAAGTTTATTTTGACATTGTATCCTTTATTCTTTGACAAAAATAAACTACCATAAAACAAAAGCAAAATGGCCCACCTACCTACTTACTTATACAAAACTGGATAGTTCCCAAGTTCATCCATGTTAGTGCTTTTCTTATCTCTTGCTATTTCTTTCCTTTTCCCATTGTTCTCATTGACTTTATACTTACACTTGAATTTAGAAGAACCCGTACTGTTAATGAGTTTGTACTCATCTGATTATTTTAAAACTTAGATTATTGTGGTTATAAAATTATCAAAATCATCAGGCAAAAAGGGTCTCTGTACTCTCACTCCTGGCCTTTTATATTTTCACCTAATAATTTGGGTAGTTTTAACATTTACACATGTGTGGACAGGAGCACTGACAACTTTATTTTATACTTTACTAGAGGCCCGGTGCATTTGTGCATTTGGTGGGGGTTGGAGGGTCCCTCAGCCCAGCCTGTGCCCTCTTGCAGTCCGGGAGCCCTCGGGGGATGTCTGACTGCTGGCTTAGGGGAGTGGGCCTAAGCTGTCAGTCAGACATCCTTAGAACTGCCGCAGAGGCGGGAGAGGCTTCCACCACCGCCGCTGCACTCGCCAGCCGTGAGCCCAGCTCAGGACTTCTGTGGGAGCGTACTGACCACCAGGGTGCAGCTCCTGCATTGAGTGTCTGTCCCCTGGTTGTCAGTGCACTTCATGAAGACCAGTCATTCTGCTGTTCAGTCGATTTGCATATTACCCTTTTATTATATAGGACTAGAGGCCTGGTGCACGAAATTCATGCACGGAGTGGGGGGGGGGGTGGTCCTTCAGCCCTGCTTGCACCCTCTAACAATCCAGGACCACTGGATCCTAACCACTTGCCTGCCAGCCTGTTTGATTGCCCCTAACCACTCTGCCTGCCTACCTAATCACCCCTTACTGCATCTGCCTGCCTGCCTGATCGCCCCTAACCACTCTGCCTGACTGAATGCCCCAACTGCTCACCTGCCTGCCTGATCACCCCTAACTGCCTCTGCCTGATCGCCCCTAACTGCTCGCCTGCCTGATCGCCCCTAACTGCCTCTCTCTGCCTGCCTCATTGCCCCTCATATTACACTTTTATTATAGATTATTATAGATAGTTGCCTTGCTCCAAGTTGTAAGGACCTGCTTGTCATAGAGATAGAAAAGTTTTAATTTTTACTCTTGATTATGGCAATTAACTAACACAGATGGCCACCAAAAAGGTGACTTACCAAAGGGTGTATAGCAAACGGTGCTGTTAAGTCCTCTTCCATGAAAACGTGCATGTCATGCATTGTATCTGCCTGGGTACCTGAAAGAGTGAAGTTTCTGTCTGTCTTTGCAATCATATGAGTGAATTGTGAGAGACCCCAGCCAATTCTGGTTTGGTGCTCACAGAATAATAGAGCTCCTTTTTTTCCTTTGCTCCATTGGTGGAGATTTCCTAGAAGTTGCAGGATATCTTCCTTTTAATTTTTCCTCGACACTCTGACTTATGTCTGTCATCTTTGCTTACCCTCAATCCCCCACCCGCAACAGTAACTTGCTCCAGGCTCACTTCACTGGAGTGTCTAGGACAGTGGTTCTCAACCTTCCTAATGCTGCGACCCTTTAATACAGTTTCTCATGTTGTGGTGACCCCCAACCATAAAATTATTTTCGTTGCTACCTCATAACTGTAATTTTGCTACTGTTATGAATCGTAATGTAAATATCTGATATGCAGGATGTATTTTCATTGTTACAAATTGAACATAATTAAAGCATAGTGATGAATCACAAAAACAATATGTAATTATATATGTGTTTTCCGATGGTCTTAGGCCACCCCTGTGAAAGGGTCGTTCGACCCCCAAAGGGGTCGCGACCCACAGGTTGGGAACCGCTGGTCTAGGAGATCACGCAACTTGTCTGCCACCAGAACTATGATTCCCAGCATTCCTTGTGCTCCCCATGCTCTCGGCTTCCTGTTGTGGCCCGAGGCCCCACCCCTCCCGCCTCACGGCCAGGGCAGGGATGCTGGGCTCGCGTTGCCGTGAGCCCAGCATCCCTTGCTCCGGCCCGAGGCCCCTCCCCTCTCACTGTGCAGCCGGGGCGGGGACACAGGGCTCACGTTGCCACGAGCTCAGCGACCCTCGCTCCAGCCCGAGGCCCCTCGCCTCCTGCCTCGCGGCCAGAGCGCAGACACTAGGCTCGTGTCGCCGGGGGTGAGGCAAGCCCAGCGTCCCGCACCTAGGCCTCTGGCCAGAAGCTCTTCCCCTCTCACCGCGTGGCCAGGGCGCGGAAGCTGGGCTCACGTTGCCGGGGCAACACTGCCAGCGTCTTGCCCTGGCCACTATGGACTCCGCCATCTTTGTCGCGGAGTGATGGTTAATTTACATATTACTCTTTTATTATATAGGATTCTTTGATAGGTGTATTATATGGAAGTAACAGAACTGACTGTTTTCCCCCATATTACATTTGAGAGACTTAATAATGATTTACTTTCATAACCATATTTTATTTTTGAAATGACTCATTTTCTTTCTCTTTGCCAATGATTATGGTTCTGAAAATCATATAGAGGCTTTCACCAGAATAGAAGGCTTCTAATTTAAGGATCTTAGTTAGAGGAGTATTTATTTGTGTCTAGAAATAAGACCTGAGTATTTATTAGCTGATTCTTACACCACAATTTCCCTTGTGTTTTTTCTTAGGCCAAAGATGAAGAAGAAGCCTTTCTGGATTGGAGTGATGATGACGATGATGGATTTGATCCAAGCACACTTCCAGATCCAGATAAGTACAGAAGCTCTGAAGAATCAGATAGTGAAGAAATGGAAAATAATATTAGGTATGTTTCTACCATTGGTGGCCTTAAGTATATGAGTCTTCTCCGTTTAATTCAAAAGATGTAGAAACAAATGTCTCATGCTCTTCTCGTCATTTTAAGGGCTCTCTTCCTGTTTCTTTAATCCCTGTCAACAAGTGTAAGGGTGTTATAAGAGTTGTATTTTCTTTTTCTTCCTCTATTCTTTTTTTTCCTGTTCATTTGTAATGTGGACTTATTTGCTACCTGTCCAAAATAGATGAAATGTGATGAGTTGAATAATAGTGTGGCATGTTCAGCTTTTGTTTTCAGAATACTATGTATTAGATTACATTGAGAGTCTATTGATTTAAAAGTTGAGGACATGGAACTCATGGGCATTCTAAACCAATGTGTCTATTTAGGCAGAAGGTAGGTTCTAATGATAGATGAAGTTAATGTGTCTGAAGGGAAGAAAAAGCTTGATGGGACCCCTAAATGCTAGCTCAGGTAGAGTTGGAGAAATAGGCTACAGAGAGCTATAATCTGGTTTTAAGTAAGAACAACATTAAGAAACGGTCTTAAAAAGATTATCTCCCGAGAAGAAAATGCTGTACGGAAATAACTTCAGTTACTCTTCATTTTAATCTTGTGCTCATTTAAATTATTCGGTAATAGTGAAAATGTTGTCCAAAATGCAGTCTTACCAAGTAATGCTAGAAACTTAAGACATTTGCTATTGGACACTTAGATAGTGGCTATAATAGCGTTCTAGTGTATTTGCTGACAAAGGAGTGAGAATTAGCTTTACTACCATAGAAGGCACCATAGATGAAAATAATTTGATTAGTATTTCAAAAAATGTATAAGTGTATGACATGGGCTTAAATAATTTAGTTCCAGAGCATATTCCTAATCTTTAGAAATTAACTTTTAAGAGTAAACATACATACTTTGCTTCAGAAAGTTCCTTAGTGCACCTGTCGAAACCTGAACTACACTGTGGTTAAGTTTGCTGCTCCTTTATGCTTACATAAATGTCTCTCTGTGAGAATGGTTTAAGGCAGTGGTCGGCAAACTGCGGCTCTTTGGCCCCTTGAGTGTGGCTCTTCCACAAAATACTAACTTCTGCGCATGGGCCACGAAGTTTCAATCGCACTGTACATGCGCCTCCGCACATGGTATTTTGTGGAAGAGCCACACTCAAGGGGCCAAAGAGCCGCATGTGGCTCGCGAGCCGCAGTTTGCCGACCACTGGTTTAAGGGATCTCCATTCTGATAGATGTAACCTAACTTACACATATGGCTTTATATCATTAACTTCCAAATGTGTCTGTGTATGTTTACTCTCTGGAGGGAACATCAATCGGTTCTTCCAGTTTGTCATGCAGCCATACTTTGCACACATCTGTCTAACACAGAGAACCAGCCTTTTAAGTATCCCTTCTGTGTCTGATTCATAAGGAATTTTCCTAGCATTTTATATGATAGTTTCTGGGTCATCCTTAATCTGTGTATAGCAGACATTTCATTTCATTCTCTGGCATTTCTTACTCTCAGATTGACATTTCCTTGCTACCACCTAGTTAATGTGATTGGTTGTTTAATAGCTTTATGTGCGTTAGCCTCTTAATTAGCCTGTAAATGCTTTGTAGCTAGAAACTCAGTCTTTTTGTACCAACACCTCCAGCTCCTCCAGCCTCTACTCCTATTCCTAACATTAATGTCATAGGCACAAAGAAGAACCTGAAATATTTGAATTGATTGATTGATAAAAAAAATATTTATAGAGTAAAAAAGATACATAGTAATAAACAGCTATGCAGTTGGTCCTAATAGCTTAAATGATACAGGAGATGACAGAATAGATGGGTGGAGAATTGGAGGAAGCCAAGTTCAGATGTTATAATGGTGATGTACATGGAGATAGAAGTACCTTGAGATGCCAAAGCATTCTGACTTAAAGATAAGCGTTCAGCCCTGCCTGGTGTGGCTTGGTTGTTTGGAGCATCATCCCATACACCAAAAGGTGATAGGTTCAATTCCCAGTCAGGGCATATACCCAGGTCCCCAGGTTGCAGGTTCAGTCCCTGGCTGGGGCATGTGCGAGAGGCAACTGATTATCTCCCCCCTCTCCTCTCCCATTCCTCCTTCCCTCTCCCTCCCTCCCTCCCTCTAAATAAAATAAATAAACATGAAAAAAACCTTTTTTAAAAAGCTAAGAGTTTAGACAAAATATTTAAGCATTACATGAAAATTAAAATAGTTTTAATTCAGGCACAGCTAGTAGTAACTCTGCATTCGTGGAAATTAAAAGGAATTGGTAAACTTACCTTAAGCTGAAGAAAAGTTCTTTTGTAGAAGAGAATATCAGCAAGGGCATTATTCCTTTAGCCATTTAAAGGGCTTCTTTAGCGGTTTGTCTTTTGCCTACTAACAGTGATTGTCTAGTCAAACTCCTTCTTATTCTATTCAAATAAAACAGTAATTTGTCTGTGATCACAATACAAGTGAGGGACAGTGTGAACTGCCCAGATCAAACAGATTCCCTAGTTCTAATACTCCAGTCAAGTCATATGGAATTGCTCTAGCATTAGGAGAGGTAGCTCCAGAAAACTTCCTGAAGACAAGTTGGTTTTCATTTGGCTGAAAACCTGATCCATGGATAAGATAGATTAGACAGAACATGGTTCCCCAGCATTAACATTACTGACATTCTGGCCTAGATAATTCTTTGGGGTGCGGGGGTGGGGGGGTGGGGTAGAGTGCTTGGGAATGATTGTCAGCTGTTTAGCATCATCCCTGGCCTCTACCACTAGCACCTCCCCCGTCAGGACAACCAGAAATATCTTCAGACATTGCATATATCTCTTGGGGAGCAAACACCCACAGTTGAGAACCACTGAACTAGACTCAGAATGGCAGGTACCTATTTCTGGTGTTTAATTTCCCCATCCTTCATCCATTACTTTCCACTTGGCCCAAGCAATCCTTCTCAGTGCAGCCTCTATTAATCAGTTGGGATTGGAACACAAGATCAAACCTGTTTGCCATTCCTGGGCTAGAAGGCAGGATTTTAGGGTAAGTTATATGTGAAATTTGTATTTGTAGTCTAATTTCCATTTTTCTCCTTTTGCCTCTTCTCTTAAAATCACCTCAATAGCAATGAATAATGACATATATAAACTAAATCCAAAATTGTTTTGGTTAAGAAAGCACATTCACAACTAGATCCATACACACTAGAATTTTGACAGTGGTAATTGCTGCCAGCACGGCTAATTATAACAGTAGCACCAGTACAGTTTCCTGGGTTGTTGCAGTTTGGCTCCATCTCTTTTCTTTGCCTTCCATGCATGACTAGATGCTATGATTTTATGGTGTTGGATTAGAGGGTCCTCCAGGCGTGCTCACAGGTTTTATTTGCTGCATTGTTTCTAACCTCCACTTGGTAGTTTTAGGAACAGCGAGTGTTCTAGCCTTTTGGTCATCTTCTTTCACCCCCCAGTAGGTTATTCTCTGGGTATTAACTTTGCATTTTCAGAAATGAATGTACTCTTAAGGGACTAAATACACCAAATGGAAAATGGCTATTGCCAAGGTAATAGCATAGCTAGTTTCTTTGGAAGTTTTCTTTGTGTATTTTTTTCCCCCTTCACTTTTGTGACATTCATACATATTCAGTATGGGTAACACCTTTGTCTCTCTACATGGAAAGACACTTAGTAGGAAATAGGCAAAAGAGAGCCTTAATGGAGAATGGCTGAATCTGGAGTCAGTAATTTCTCCTCAGGGAGGTCTGATAGGATTTTATACCTCTTTCCTCCTCAACTCAGTGCACAGCCACAGTCGATTTAAACCATCCTCCACCCTCTGTACAGTGATCAGAATTGTCATCTCTACCACTGAGATTCCAAAGGGATTCTGACGTGCAAGATTCAGGTCCTATAAGTTAGCATGACAAAGAGAGATTCTTGCTGTCAATATGGTCCCAGGGACAATGAAATAATGTCACCTTGAGTTCCTTTTAAGGAATTTTAAGAATGTCATCATTAATAGCTCTATTTATTATCAGATATAAAACTGTGAAATAGGGTGCAGAGGGGTGTCAGCTGGCTCGTCCACAGCAGATGCCCAACCCAGTCGGAGGCTCTAAGCTTTGGTGTGTGCTGTTTTGCAAAACAAGTATAGAGTTTTGATGCTCTCTTGTTTCTTTTCCTGTCTTCATCCTTGTTACAGATTGGTCCAGGATGGGCTTTGCTCTGTGGCTTTCACTTTGGCTCCTCTCTCGGAACCAGGGAATGACATAGGTAGAATTAGTGCAGGATGTTAGGATTTGTTGTTACTGTTATTAAAATGGAGACAGAAAAGTTTGGTCGGAAACCTAGCTATTTGTTGCAGTTGACTTTATGACATCACAGAATTCACTAGTCTGCTAGGAACTACACAGAATTATATATTCTTATCTCCAGTGAGTTTTGATGTAGACTTTTATACCTTTTGAGGAAAAATGACCTCAAATATTGCAATGGTCTTTTTGCTCATAAATGATTTTTCATTTCTCTGTCTTCCAAATACTCCATACAATGTAGTTATACTGCTTTCACAATAAAAATATTTAGACAACTTTCTACATGTGTTGCCAAGAACTGGAGTAAGAACCTTCAATGTTATTTAAATCACATTCTACTTAAGAGTTAAAAATACCCATTTGATCTGTTAGTCCCTAGCTTGTTGTAATATTTCCTCCATCCATTCTTTCAACTAAAAAATAATTTTAATAGCTGTCATGTGCCAGGCATAGTGAGTGCAGGTACAGAGGATAAAACATTAAGCAAGGGCCGGGTCAGTTTGACTCAATTGGTTGAGCATTGTCCCTCGCATGCACCAAAAGGTCACTTGTTTGATTCCCAGTCAGGGCATCTGCCAGAGTTGTGGGCTCGATCCCCACTAGGGGGTGGGCAGAAGGCAGCCTATCGATGTTTTTCTCTCACTCATGTTTCTGTCTCTCTCTCTCTCTCTCTCTCTCTCTCTCTCTCTCTCTC